ATAGAAGTACTCGAAAGAAGTGGTAGGATCTGGACCATAAAAAGGGATGTCAGAAGTGCTCACATATATTTTTCACCTGTCCCAGACACAGCTGCACACAGAGTTTTACTGATGTGTTTACTCACTGTAAAGATACCRCATACGTAAGTACTCCTTTTTCCTTGGGGTGAGATGACTGTTTTGTAAAATAATTCTAATACTTTGAGCATTTTGAAGGTGTATCATAAATTCAACAAGCTAAAATCATATATATGTGCGTGCATGCACGCATAAAACATGTATATGGTATAAATACGGTATATTGTATATGCATTTATGCTATATACACATTTTTATATATAATATGTTTGAAATACAGGAGAATTCTAGGTAGAARAGAAAATTTAAATCTTACAGGCATTCAGCTCTTATGCTGTTCTATCATAATACCATAGACAATTGTCAGGAGACTTGAAAGAAAAAACAGTTACTTTGCAGCAATGTCCCATGGGGTGTCCCCCAATGACACCATTACAGACTTCACATGGACCAGTAAAGAGAGTTTCTTGCCAGCAAACCATCTTACTTTTTAATAGAAATACAAATAAGAAACTCGATTCATACACAGACGCAGTGTGAGTCCCRTCCTCCAAATACGCTTAATGAAATTACATTTTTGTAAGCAGCTTCAGGGATGGGAAAAGATTTGCCAAAAATCTGAAAATCTGTGAAAACCAACTTTTTAAACACGCACACTAAAAATCTGGTATGCGTATATAACAAGGCTGTCACAAATGGCTATCTTTTCTAGGGAGGGAAAAGAGTCAAATACTTCCCCCCTCCCTTCCRAAATTCTTTAGAAATATGTATTTTCTCAAGATACGTACAGTTCTAGAGATATTTCTAAATCATTTTATAACATTTAACTCCTTTAAGTCATCTGTAACTTGGTTAAAACCATTCATATGAATTTTTATATAACTGAAGTTTGTTTTGAAAGAAACTATTTTTTTTGCAAATCCAGTTAATGTAAACTAATCAAATGGAAACGCACTGCACCACACTCCATACTAACCAGCTGTAGACTCGCTTACTATTCTGATCACATAAGTCTTCTGAGCTTAACATCTCAGGATTGTGGTATTATAAAAATTCACCCACATTAATGTACAGAAATACTCATGAACCTCAAATTATTGTACTATAATGCTGTCAAATAAACAGACTAGTGGAATTCAATTTCCCGGAAGGCAAGGCAAAGTCCAAAGGCCTTTATCCAAAATTCAGTGTCATTTTCTTGCCCTGTATTTAATTAACACTATTTACTGTCAAGAGCTGAGACGGGTAAATATTTCACTCTTCCCAATTCAGAGGCTAAAGGCAGGCCCAGAGGAAAATTGGCCCAAGTAAATGCATCTCATCTTCCCTGATGATGCAAGTGCTCAGCTGTCCTGTTCTTGACCCTTCCAGAATTCCCAGGTTCCAATACTGGGGATACAATCTCATCAATCTGTATTTAAAATATATATTGATTTTCCACAGATGATAATGACAGCTATTCCTTCTGCAAATGTGCATATACTCTGCTTTTGCCCACATTTTTAGGTAGCTTTCAAAAGAAAGAAATGAAGAACTCTTACCAGTATCCATTACTTAGTCAAAACTAATATTTAAGATATGAATAAAATGAAGTTTGCCATTGCATTTCATAATTTTTTTTTATCTCAAATTCAAATGTGAAAAGTAATCTTCCCAAATACAGTTACTTGTACAGGAAAATTTCAAGCAGTTGAATGATTAAGTTTTCAACAGTCCTAGATTTATATGGAATTAAGTTTTGTCAGTGAACTTTCTACCAAATTAATGAAGAATTCCATTTAAATCAATACACAGAAATTAATGAGTTTTATGTATTTAAGGGTAGTATATTCAGCTCTTAAGACTAATCTGAACGTTGCTTCCTCAAAATAACTAGTTCTTTAGATCTGCTTTCATYACTAAGAAATTATTTCTGCTGGTGGAAGCATGATGACCTTTCTCTCTATAACACTATTTTGATTAATTTTAAAGGATGGGCAGTATTACATTTGTGCAAATTTCATTTTTTCCACAAAATGAGAGAAAATTCCACAAACTGACATTTTCGATAACAGAAACAAACTTATGAAATATACCTGTAAAAACCCTAAGAGCTGCTCATTTCTCAATATTTCTGCTGAAAGTTCTTATCATTTCCCCCACATGGAACTTCACCTGTGGATCAGGAACATYTTTTTACCCTGACTGCATAAAATTCACTGTACTCAAGTACCTACTTAGGCAGGCAGCTTTATAGGCAATTCACGTTCACAAATGTCATTACTGAACAGGGCTGAGTGAACACAGAGAATTCTGACCCTATTTCAAGCAAAACAAAGCAAAACTCCCTGGTTTCCACACTGAATGCAGGAATATGTGCATGCAGGAACGTGAGCATGTTCCCTCCATCAATTTAATACAAATACAAACCTACAGATTCCTCTTCAAATGGCAAGAGCCAGTCACCTAAAGATTCTCCATACCTATGATCAAGAGCAAGGTTTCATTTCTGACATTTCAGAGCCATCATCACTCCCCTGGCAATTCCAGTTCAGGTGTTCTCGGCCTGCTGCTGAACTCCAGGCTCCATCCTGACACTTTAACAGAAGCAACATCCTTCCTCTATCTCTATTTGATGCTTGGAGYCTACTCCTTCTTCACTCAAAGCTTTAAATGGGGAGGACAGTTAAAACTTACTTCAAAATAAGGCAAGTATTACCTGTTACTTTCTGACATTCCTTTTACATATATTAAGAGGGCACAGTCAACTCAGAAACCCGACATCTGTCAGAACCCTTTTTATCTGCTACTGCTGCAAACAACAGTAAGGAGCACTATAACTCCTAAAAAAGAGAGGCACAAATATTTTCCAAGCAACACATTTGACACTAACTATGATACAAATGCCAATGAAATCAGTGCAAAGCTGAACTGAAACAGGCCCACAAGATCAGGGAGGGTGACAGAACTGAGATTTCTCTAATCTATATGTTTTTTTTTTCTCTGAAAAACATTCCTTGTGAAGGAGAATATTTCACACAAGAAAGAAAAAAGAAGGAAGAAAAAAAAAATTCTCACTGAAAACTTTCTGATAGGAGACAAAAGTTGGTGTTTTTATCTTTTTAACTAAAATGTGAGCTTCCCACAAGCTCTACAGCGATCACCTTCTCAACAGCACAGAGCAGCTACCGCAGAAGGCCCCAGCTACGGAGCTTCCACGCAAGCAGCCACGAGTTCTAGCACTCCAGCTATTTCTGATCCCCTTCCAGGTATTCTAAATGCCGTTTAACCAGTCCCAAGACTCAAGCCTGTACATGCCTTTATATTGATTTAAAAACAGTTAAATGAAATTCCAGCTAATAACCTCTTTAAGTTCAAACACTAGCAAAAATTCAGATTTGTACACTGGTTAATGTAAACCAAAATAACGTTATCGGATACAGTGCTGGAGAACGAGAGCACCTGAGCATGCTGAGCAACAGGGCTCAAATCCGAGGAGGTCACGAGTTAATGGAAGAACTCCTGAGGATTCCAAGGGACCAAGATTTCCTGTATTCCTGTTCTTACCCTTTTACTGAKCTCTCCTATGACTCTTGGGTAACTATTTCCCTTAAAGGATAATAAAAATAACTTATTATCAAGAAAACCTGCATGTACGCATTAGGACCCTTATGCAGCCCAAATAATATACAGTGTAAATAGGTAGTAAGATTTCTTTTCTATGTGGACAGTATTTTCAAGTTAATATACATCATATACCATATGTACCACCTCTGGTATATGACCAGATACTTAACCAATACTGTAACCTTAGTTAGCAGGAACAAAATGTCAGAGAACCACCACTGGAGTTGTTGCTAAAGCTATTTCATCAAAATAGCGATGCAAAGGCAAAACTGGAACACACAGAAAGGCTTCTTAATCTCTGTTTTCACTCGCTGGAGCTAGAAAAATCAGTAAGTTTGCAGGAAAGTTCTGTTGCTTTGCAAAAATTGCTCAATCTAATTAACAAAAGAGGAAACGATACTTGATGTGGACTTAGATAATTTTACCCATAAACGGCCAACACTGTGTAAACAACTATGCCCTAAAACAACTAAGAACTTTATTTGCTGGCTCATTCCCCAACTCTATATTCAGCGTGCAAGCCTCAAAAATACATATTTCTGACCTTAATAAGTCACTCTACATGTTAAAAGGCAACATCTATTCATGAGTATCCTGAAAAGGTTCTCACATAAAATCTCAAACACCTATTTGTGAAAGACGGATACAGAGCAAGTACACTGCTATATTAAACAAACCTAAAATAAAGACACAGCAGTTATGCTCTACCTTCCACCACTGCGCCACTAAACTATTATTAGTCTGCATTTAAACAATCTGCAGGGGTCCCTTTTCCTATATCTCCGGGGCATTAACCCTTCCTGAGGCAGGATGTCTGCAGGCACAGCACTGCCTGATGGATACCAGGCAGGAATTCGCGAGCAACAAGTAGTTTAAGGCGTCAATGTTGTTGTGTGGGGCCTTGATTTAAGTAATTTATTCATGCAGTTGGGTGGAAAACCTTACACTCGTACACATACAGCTTTTGCTGAAAGACAGACCATAATTAGCACCTTTGAAAGACACCAATTCTGCAGCATAAGCTATCAGAGAAACTTGAGGAAAAGGCCACCACAGGCCGAGCTCCTCCAGCTCTTCTCCGCACTGAGGCTGACTCCGGCTCCCGTCTCTGCCTCCACACCCGGCCTGGCCACCATTCTGGAAACTTCCAGAAAGTTCTGTCCCCTCCCTCTGCACTACCAGCTACTACTCCAAGCCCAGGTTTGTTGCGCTGCTTCCACGCRATCGGTTTAAAGCTTCTCCCATCACATTCTCTGGGGAAGGAGATAAAGCAGCGACACGGTTCAGTTGCACGTCGTGGTGTCCGATTAACTCACCGAGCCCCCGCGAGGCGGGCAAGGGGTCCTACAGGCTGGGCGTGCGCTGGGCTTCGCTGCTCGGGAGCATCTCACGCCTGCTGTGGACAAAAGGGAGACCAGAATTAGCCTTTCTTTGGAGAGAARCACATATAAAAGCTCAGGATCAGATAGTTGGCACATCCCAGTTTTAAGCATAACATAACGAAGCAGCTTTATRAACTCTGCAGCGCAGTATCTGCTTTTCCCGAGATAACTGCAACCCGTTCCCAGTTGCACAATCACTCCARGCGCCCAACTTCCCCTCTGCCCGCTGCCTCCTGCACTCGCACAGCAACACCGGCCTAGAGGCTTCCACTCATCTACAGCGCCCAACTCCTCACTTTCACGGCACAGTCTGTGGGAACTCTCTTCAAAAGCTGTCGGTTCCTTTTTTGGTTGACTGCTTGCTTGCTTGGCTTATAACACATTAGTTTCAAATCTCCAAAAAGGGAGAAACTGCCTTTTTTTTTTTTTTTTCCCCTTCTTTTTAATAAGACATCTTTCAACCATCATTAGAAGTTGTAGGCACAGAAGTCAGTTCCTGCTGTAGAGCTCCACTTTCAACACTTGGACACAGTGGGCAAGCACAGTGGGCAGTGGGCAAGCAAACGGGGAGCACAGAACTCGGATTCAAGAAGGGGCCGTGCGAGGCATCTGTAGCAAGTACTTGTCTTTGGGGAAGAGGAACTGGAGGGCAGCATCCGCACAAGCCTCCACATAAACATGACACACGGGTTCTAGCCTGTGGGCCACACAGGGCTTTATAGCAAACGCGCCTGAGCAAACCACCAAAGGCGAGTTTTCTAACTTCTCCTTCTGACAGACAAGCAAAAAGCCAGAACAGAGAGAAAATGGAAGACCTTGTCCCAATTCGATACACCCCTAGCAAGGCAGAAAGGGTTCTCCAGTTCCACAGAGCACGAGCACCTCCTCATTCCCACAAAACACCACCTTGCTGTAGATTCACATTCAAGACACAGATTCACAAAAACTATGCGCACGGGCAACGTGGTCTCCCCGCTCTCCATCCAGGTCTTCCCCTCCCCATTCCAGGCCGGGCCTGGCCCCTCCACGTCACCATCCAGCACCTCCCTTCAAGTCACCTCTGGTTCCTCCCCAGCCGAGTCGCCGCTCGCTATTTGGTTGCTACTAACATGATCTTCAAAGCACGACTAACAGGATCTTTTTAAGTAAGATACCCTGGCAGATGTATCCTCTGATATATTCATATAATATCCAGGTTTACTCTTTTAATTAACTAGGCTACCAGTGAAGTAAAGTGATGAGCAGTGGACACCAAAATGAAAACTGCAGAATCCACTCTGCGCATCGCAAGCCATCAGAACAACCTGGTATTTCCATGGCAGTGCTCAACAGTTTGCACACAGGCCTCAAGCAAGCACTGAGGGAGAGGAATCTCTGCCTCGAAAGGCACAAAAAGTATCAACAGTGGGTTTGATCTGTAAATGAACAGATCACATTTAACATTCTTCAGCACGACCCGTTCACTCTTGTATCCCCCAAAGGGTTGGCAGGAGGAGAGGAAGCTTTTTAAAGGTAAATATGACAAAATTTAAGTGAACGACTGAACCCAAAGGCCTCAATAATGCCCAATTCTCTGGCTACAAACCATTTTACATCTTTCCTCTCGTTCTACATGGCACTGCAGAGCACAGAAACTGCAGAGACATCTGCATTCCAGTTACCTGTGGTGGTGGTGGTAGAGATACTCTGCTCCTCAGAGCTATCGGATGTGAACCAACCAACCAGCACCAACTCTTACAAACTACTGTCCAGCCCAAAAGGAAGCAAAAACTTTTAATTTTGAGACGCATTTAGAAGAGCCTGTCGTCTAGAGTGCACAAGCCTAATTATTTTTTGATCGCATACATGTAGTCTTCAGGTTCCCTTAACGTCTGACTTCGGCACTAAGGGCAGATGGTTCCAAAGATGATCTCACTGTTACGCAATTACACGCGTATCAAGCGACCTGTATCAAGAAAATATCCTGAAGCCTCATTAGAAATTCAGGATCTTTGCACTGAAGCAATGCACATTTAAAAAAAAAAAAAAAAAA